ATGGTCTCAAGCAGACACACCGCGCTTGGTTTGAGTCTTTTCACGATGTCGTGCTCAAGGCGGACTTTATGGAAAGTCATCAAGATGCTTCTTTGTTTGCTCGCACTACATCATACGGCAGAGTTTTATTACTCCTTTATATAGATGATATGATCATTACAGTTGATGATGTTGTTGATATACAGTACGCAAAATCTAAATTACAACAAAAGTTCCACATGAAGGATCTTGGATCTCTTCACTATTTTCTTGATCTAGAAATTTCTCAGGGCCCACAGGGGAGTACTACTATCTTAACAGAAGTATCTCTCGGATATTCTAGCTCGTGCTGAGCTAACTGACGATGTAACTGTTAATACTCTACTTCAACAGAATATCAAACTTCGCTCTACTGATGGTGAGCCTCTATCTGATCCTACCCGATGCTACCATCTTGTTGGTCAGTTGATCTATTTGTGCATCTCTCAACCATATATCTCTCATGTTGTTGGCATTTTAAGTCAATTTGTTAATGTCCCACGTTTTGTATACTATGCTACCTTATTACGGATTCTTCAGTATCTCTGGGGTATTAGCACTCACTCTCTTCTGTTTCCTACTACTTCCGATTTAGAGCTTCGTACATATTCTGATGCCGATTGGGCTAGTGATCCAACTACCAAGAAGTCTACCACAGGTCATTGTATATTTTTTGGTGATTCCCTCATTTCCTGGCAGAGTAAGAAACAAGATGTTATTGCCCTTTCCAGCACCGAGGTAGAGTATCGTGCAATATCCACAATAGCTAAAGAAATTATTCATCTTCATTGTCTTCTTAGTGATTTTGGTATTTCTATTCCGAGTCCTACTCTTCTCTACTGTGATAATAAGAGTGTCATCCAGATTGTAAATAATCCAGTATTTCATGAGATGACCAAACACATTGAGATCGACGCTCATTTTGTTTGTCAACAAGTTATTAAGAACAAAACAATTCAACTTCCTCATGTCTCATCCGCCGATGAGCTTGCAGATTTCTTCACGAAGGCATTATCTGTTCATCGATTCCAGTTTATTGTACGTAAAATCACTTTGTTTGATCCAACATGAGTTTGAGGGGGGTTGTTGATATTATTGTATGTGTTAGAAGTGGGTTTAGTCCCACATCGGTTATGAGAGCACATCTCATCCTCCTCTACTTGTATGTGTGTGTGTATGTGTGTGTGTGTGTGTGTGTGTGTGTGTGTGTGTGTGTATATATATATATATGTGTGTGTGTGTGTGTGTGTGTGTGTGTGTGTGTGTGTGTGTGTGTGTGTGTGTGTGTGTGTGTGTGTGTGTGTGTGTGTGTGTGTGTGT